CCTCTACAAGGCCTCTGTTATAGATTGAGGTATGTCCCCCAAAAGATATGTTAAAGTCCTGAATCTCCCTACCTGTGAATGTGACTGTGATGGTTAAGATTGTGTGTCAACTTGGCTGGGCCATGATTCTCAGTGTTTATATGTGATCACTTCCATGATTGAATATGCTGTGAGTAGCCAATCAGTGGAAGGGGAGTTTCCTTGGGGGTGTGGCCTGCATCCAAATATAAGCAGACATTCTGGCTGTTTGCTTGCTCTGGATCCTTTGGCTGCCTCCTGTTCATCTGACCTCCCGTTCTTGGGGCTTCAGTTGTCGGCTTATCTGCCAATCTTTGGATTCATCAATCTTCACAGCCTGTGAGCAGAGCCCTGCTCTCTGACCTGCCAATCTTGGGTTCACCAGCCCCTGCAGCTAAGTGAATCAAGAGAAACCCCTATCTTGATCCACGGACTTAGGATGTTCCAGCCTCTACAATTGTGTGAGCTGCTTCTTTGCTATAAATCTCTATATATATATATACGTTTATACGCTTTACTGGTTTTCCTTCTCTAGAGAACCCAGCCGAAGACAGTGACTTTGTTTGGAAATAGAGTTTTTTAGAGTTCAAAAAAACAAACCCATTGCTGTTCAATCGATTCTGACTCATGGCAACCTCATGTGTTACAGAGTAGAACTGCTCCACAGGATTTTCTCAGCTGTAATCATTGCAGAGGCAGATCACCAGGCCTTTCTTCTGCAGTACCACTGTGTGGGTTTGAATTGCCAACCTTTAGGTTAATAAAGTGCAAGCCGTTTGTGCCACCCAGGGACCCTTACTAGAGTAGGGTGGGTTGTAATCCATCTGAGTAGTGTGCTATAAAAGAGAAGAGATAGAGAGACAGACAGAGGGAAGACAGCCATGTGAGGATGCATCAAGAAGCCAAGGAATGCCCGGGGCTACCAGAAGCCCGAAGAGACAAGGAAGGCTCTTCCCTAGAGCAAGCAGAGAGAGCGGGTCCTGCCGACACACTGACTTTAGACTTTCAGCCTCTAGCACTGTGGGACAATACATTTCTGTTCTTTAAAGCCATCGGCCATGTGGTACTTTGTCCCGGCCACCCTAGGAAATTCAAACAGCCACCCATTCTAGGTTGGCACAGATCTGCTCCTTGATGTTGGGGTCGGCTCACAGAGGACCCCATATGCTGGGCCTCAGGACTTTGTCTGTGGGCAGGGGTCGAACACATGAATGTCCCAGGATGCAGGCAAGTCGGGCTTGTGAATGAAGAAGCCACACTGACACTTCACAAAGAAATGTGCCCTCTTGGTTGATTCTTGAAGCTTAAAATTGTCTCAGCACAGTGCTCATTTCCCACTTTTGTTGGCAGCATGGATGTGAAGAAATGTCTCTGCTAGAGTGAAACAACAAGATACATGTTCTGTAAAACGGCCTCTCACATTGGGCCTCAGTGTCAGGACAATAGGGAGAAGTGGGGACTGTGGCCAACCAGAGACCACAGGACCCAGCCAAAGGGGAAGGGCCTCCCCACTTGGCTTCATCTCATGGCTGCCAGGCAGGAACTTGTGCCCAGGAATGCCCCAGCAACCTGCTTTTAGAAACCAGCCATCAGGATTTGTATGTGAAGTCATTACATTTGTAATTGGCTCAACCTTTTTTAAACACCATGTGGCCCAGACAAGACCCACTCACTCAGTGCTGAGCACTGAGGGGCTGCAGAAGGTTTTGAAGCAGGGCAGGGCCAGGCTCAGAGCTGCCCTGGATCAGGGGTTCACTGGCTGGGACAGGGCCTGTGGCCCTGAAGCTGTGGCCCTCTCTGCAGACAGCCAAGGAACCCACCTGCACACTGCTTTCCCAGTTGCATCAGGGGGACAGTGGCACCTGTCCCAGCTCCTTCCCTCCTTCATCTTTCCATGGGATGGTGGCCTGGGCTGGGCCTCCCTCCGGAGCCACTCCTCTGCCTGATGAAACCCGTGGCGGGGCTGTACCACTAGCCCCGGGGCCCCAGCAATCCCCCTGCTACCAGGTGCTCAGGGACAGATGCCCAGCACCCACAGCAGTAACTACCATCATTACCCAAGGGGGAACATCGGGGAGAGGCTGCCCCTGAGGACTGCAGAGATCCATCTGGATCCGTTTCACAGGCTCTGAGGATGGCGGAGGTGGGGGCCTTGGCCACCATCCAATCTATCCTCATCTAGTGCCAGAATTCCCTCCACAATGGCCCAGATGTGGGCATGTTCGAATATCTCCAGAGATGGGGAACTCACTACTTCCTAATTGTAATAAACCCACTCTTCACTTATCGACACAGTTAGGTTCCAAAGACTAGGTCATTACGGAAAAATAGGCATTATACAAAAATGAAGGATGACTACATCAGATCACAAAATGGAGGATGACTACATCATTATGTAATTGCCAAATTATATCATTACATAGTGAATGTTTACTATTATTGTAAATGCGAAATGTTGGATACCAAGATAGTCAATAAGTGAGTAGTAGGTGTAATAATGCTGGTGGTGGTGGTGCCGTCGAGTAGATTCCCACTCATAGCAACCCCTTGTGACAGAGTAGAACTGCCCCATAGTGTTTTCATAACTGTAATTTTTATGGAAGCAGATTGTCAGGTCTTTCTCCTGCAGAGCTGCTGGCTGGGTTTGAGCAATCAAACTTTAGATTAGCAGACGAGTGTTTAACTGTTGCTCCACCAGGGCTCCTGTAATAATAATAGCTGGCAATAACTGAGTGCTTACATATTTTTCACTGTACCCTCAGGAATCAATAGGGATAAGTCTAAGACCTTGCACACAGCTAGATTGAATCTTCACCACACAGAATCCATCCAGAGCCCCAGACAAGAGCCTCATCCCCATCTGACATCTGGTCGACCTAAGAGACCACGGCTGGCCTTCTGGGACTTTGTCCCTGGGGCACCACACTGCAGCCAGATCTGATCCCATGCTGCTGTTGGCTACAGTTCTGGAAGAACGATACAAAAGCAGCCGCCAGGTGGCGCCCAACCACAGGCGCGACCTGGACAGGGATGGCTCTGAATCACCTTGGGCGGAGTTCCTTGGTGATCCTGTCACATCTGTCTTCCTTAGTGTGTGATTGCTTCACTGTCTAATATGCTCTTTTTATAACTCAGAAATGATTAGGCTTTGGGCACACCCAACACTGATATGGCCCAATTCACATAACAAAGAAGACTATTCCCAAATGGGATTACATCTACAGATATAAAAAACCAAACCAAACCCATTAGCATCAAGTCCATTCGGACTCATAGCGACTCTACAGGACAGAGTAGAAGTGCCCCACAGGATTTCCAAGGAGTGGCTGGTGGGTTCGAACTGCAGCCTTTTTTGATTAGCAGCTGAGCTCTCAACCACTGCACCAACAGGGCTCCTCCACAAGTATGGGGGTAAGGATTCCCATGCATATTTTTGGGGAACACAATTCAATCCATAACAGTTGGAAGCCATGAATTCAGAGTGGAGCCACTGGCCTGGCTGGTGACTTTCTTCCATCAGACTCACTAAGGTGTTGGTGGGTTCACCTGGGGTTGACCAACAGTGCCACAAGGAGAGGAGGGACAGGAGTTTAGGGTATTCTAAGAGTGTTAATGAAATGATGGCCCTTGGGATCTAAGCTGTTTTAGGATGGAAGAGATGGATGGAAGAGAGACAGAGGGATGAAGAACGGGAGTCTCCAGGAGGTCCAGAACTTTCTTAGAGTGAGCGGTTGAACCAGCACACAGTAAGGAGAGGTGATTAGGTTCAGAGTGGAGGACTCGAATTAGTGATGTGGGGGTAGAGAAGTTACGGGAAACCCAATGGGGCAGTTCTATTCTCTCCTATACAGTTGCTATGAGTCAGAATTGACTCGATGGCACACAACAACAGCTATAGGTGATACCCTACTTCCCAGGATCCACGTGCCCTGCTTAAGATCCCAGTAAACCCTGGAAAGACGGAAGTGATGACCTCCAGTGAGCAAGCCCAGCCTGAGAGCATGCGCAGTAACAGAGTGTAACCACAAGATGGCAACATCCACCTGTGAACTCCAAGCATGGCAGCCTCAGCATCCAATAGGCTGACACCTGTGCTGGGGCTGGAGGTTCAGGGGTGATTAACACTACCCGCACAAACAGAGGCTGTAAGAAATATTCATGCTGTTTCTGAATTGCTTAATCACCTGTGGGTCAGAGATCTTGGGTAAGGGGAGGTGAGGGGAGCTTGCAGGGCTCCAGTCTTGAAAGATGGCGTTTGTGTGATCCGCCCCCGCAACCCCAGCCACCTTTGACGGAACCCATGGGAGGGCTCTGGAGGCAGAAAGGCCTGAATTTAAATCTTTTATTTATTTATTTTTTATTTGATTGCTGTACTTTAAGTGAAAGTTTACAATTCAAGTTAGTGTCTCCTACAAAATTTTATACATACATTGTTATATGACCCTGTTTGCTCTCCCTATACTGTGATAGCACACTCCTCCTTTCCACCCCTAATTTCCCATGTTCATTCAACCAGCTCCTAACCCTCTCTGCCTTCTCATTTCATGTACGGACAGAAGCTGTCCATTTAGTCGCATTTATCTACTTGAGCTAAGAGGCACACTCCTCACAAGTATCATTTTATGTCCCATAGTCCAGTCTAATCTTTGTCTGAAGAGTTGGCCTCGGGAATGGTTTTAGTTCTGGGTTGACAGAGAGTACAGGGGCCATGCTTTCTGGGGTTCCTCCAGTCTCAATCAGACCATTTAGTCTGGTCTTTTTACTAGGATTTGAGTTCTACACCCCACTTTTCTCCTGCTCCATCTGGGACTCTCTGTGGTGTTCCCTGTCAGGGTGGTCATTGGTGGTAACCGGGCACCGTCTAGTTCTTCTGGTCTCAGACTGATGCAGTCTCTGGTTTATGTGGCTGAATTTAAATCTTGACTCTGCCACTTACAGCTGCTGAACAAGGTAATAACTTCTCTGTACCCCAGTTTCCTCACATGCAAAATAAGGGTAACAATAGTGCCCACTTCACGGGGGTGTGCAGTGGATTCAATGAGCAGTCCCTGGAGAAGGCAGAGCCAGAGCAGCAGCTCAGTGTCACCTTCTTTGACAGCAAGCACTACTGCTTATTGGGCAGCTATGCTGAGCCGCATAGAAGGCTGTGAGGTTGGTAGCATCACACCCTTTACAGACGAGGAAACTGAGGCTCAGCTTGCCTAGGAACATGGCATCAGCCTCCAAGCCCAGGTCTGTCTGACTCTACAGCCCAGTCCTGTCCTCCAAGACAGGAGGCCTCCCCATCCACTCCCTGACCAGGCCTTGGCATCACTCCCCCAGCCTCCTGGGTGTCTTGGATCAAGTCCTTTTGTAATAGAGATGTCTTCTGCCCAGCACTCAGAACCTTCTAGGGCATTTCCAAACCTATGAGTGGCAGGATGCTTTTCTAAAGGACTAAAGTAGTAAAATATTAGCTTAGTGGAGAGTGCTTTGGATGTTTTAAATTTCTCTTCCTTCCTTCCTCCTCCCCTTCCTTTATTCTGTCCATCCTTTCCTCCTCTTCCTCCTCCTTGATCTTCTTACTTTTCCTCTTCCTCCTCCTTGTTCTTCTTACTTTTCCTCTTCCTCCTCCTTGTTCTTCTTACTTTTCCTCTTCCTCCTTCCCCTCCCTCTCCTCTTCTCAATCTCCTTCTTCCGATTCTTCGCCTCCTCCTCCCCTTCATGTATGTTTAAGAACAATAAAGATGTTCTATGGATGGGCAGCACTTCACTGCTTACAAACGTTTTCCCCTGATATTCTCTGACACCGCTCATGGTAGGTGGTTGTTCTCATCAACTCTATTCAGTTGCAATAACCCATATTCCACATGGCCACCCCAGACACAGAGTGGAGGACCCTCAAGGTGGAATAGTGTCACCACTCCATTCCTAGTCACTTACCAAAAGGGGCCTGTGTGGGCATAGGAACCCAGTCAGTCACTGAGGCCGGCCCTTACCACCACCACCCCCATTCCCAAGCCCTCCCTGGCCCCAGCTCCTGAAGTCTGTCTGCTTCCAAGTCTGCCCTGTAAACACATGTATTTCTAGCTCCTGCACTTGACCCTGGCTCCCCCTTTTCTGATCGTCTGTCAGGGTGGATATTTCATTACCTCATCACTGAAGTGCCCAGGGGAGGAGGCCTGCTCAAGGTCACTCAGCTGGTCAGGGGCAGGCGCAGAATTAGAGCCCGGGGCTTCTACTCCCACTTTGGTGCCCTTCCGTTGATGCCTTGCAGCCTCAAGGATTCCCTGGGAAGCTGAGTGTGCCCACAGCTGTCCGACTCATCTTGACCCTGAGCTAGACACTCCCACCGCCATTGGTCTGGATCCTGGAGGAGAAATGAATCCACTCTGGCTGGGAAGAAGCCCAGCAGATGCATCAGCTACCTGTTCCTCCCAACCCAACACAACAGCAAAGCAGGCTAAAATCCAGGCCTGAGCAAACCCACCCCCAATAAGCCCTCTATGCATTTCGAGTGGGTGGAGCCCTTCCTTGGGAGTGAAGGGAATTTGCAGCAAGGGCCTGGCATCTATCCTTCCTTCATTCCTCCAAGTAGAAGAACCCTGGTTTTCAGAGACGTTTAATAACTTTGCCACAATTACTCAGCTCACAAGTGTGGGCGCCAAGATTCACGCTGGGGGCTTCAAGCCCCTTTCTCTCCTGGGTTTTGGGACTTGCTGGCAATTTAGGGTGCTGTTCCCAAACTTGCCTGCTGGGGGAGCTTGTTCAATATATTGATTTCCAAGCCCCACCCACGACCCACTGAATTACTGATTGCATTTATTCATAAAGTATTTATTGAGCACTTATTATGTGTCCAGCACTGAGTGTACAGGGTTAAACTCTGGGGAGCGGGGGATTGGGGGGGGGGGCGGAGTCTCTAGGGAGGGCCCAGGATCTGGGTGAGTGCCCAGACTTTCAGTATTCAGGTGAGCATTTTAGAATACAAGTTGGGGACAGGAAGTGTGGGCAGGAGCCAGAGCTTTGCTCTGAACCAGTCGAGCGGCTGGGACCCAGGGCTCAGGAAGGCTCCCCTTCCTCACCTGGCAGTACACCCTGCACTGGTTACTTGGCAGGGCCTGAGGTCAGGGCTCAGGGCACGGCTGGCTAGTGGGACAAGTTCTGGGTCACCTGAAAACATCCTTCCAGCCCCGGGAGGCCACGATTCAGCCTGGGTGTGGGTCCTACACCACCTCTGGAGCGAGTGACCTTGGCAGAGTTGCCCAACCTCCCTGAGTTTTGGAAGGGAGATCTGTGGGGCTTCGAGAAAGTGCTCGAAGGTGCTCCAAGAAGCAAGCGGACGGGGCCCAGGATCGGAGCAGCGGCCCCTCCCTAGATCCCAAAGAGCCCACCTCCAGCCAGATGGAGCTCCCTCCTCTCCCTTCCCTAGATTCCTCCTCCTTCCCCCTCCTTCTCAGTGGCAGTGTCTGGGAAGGGTCTTCAGTCCCTGCCACAATCCCCCAGCCCCAAAGCCTCCCTTTTGGGTTCTCACTATTGCTCTGTGAGCGACGGGCAACATCTTAGCCGCGTTTAAGTGTGAACAGGAGCATCTTAGGAAACACGGCTGGCTGTATTAATCTGTATGTAACATAATCTAACTGGAAACAGCAAGCCTGCTGAGCAAATTCTGATTCCAGACAAGTCTCCTGTCCTCCCCCCACAACCAGATACTGCCCCAAAGCCCCCCTCATGCAGCCCCGCAGCTCCCTCCTCCTGCTCACCCCCTCCCCAGCCGTCATATCGATTCTGACTGATAGTGACCCCACGTGACAGAGTAGAACTGCCCCATAGGGTTTTCTAGGCTGTAATCATTATGGGAGCAGATAGCCAGGTCTTTCTCCCAGAGAGCTGATGGGCGGGTTGGATCCATCAACCTTTTAGTTAGCAGGAGAGCGCTTAACTATTGGGCCACCAGGTCTCCTTCAGCTTCCAAGTAAGGCCCCCGTATTCTGGGCTGGGGTATTGCCAACTGCACTGAGCCCAGGTAGGGAGGCCAGGATGAGGGCTGGTATGGTTTAGGCTTCAAAAGAGTAAGGTGCAAAATAAAAACTTTGCAAATGAAAGTCTGTTTCTCATAGGTCACTGCTTGAAAAGTAAGTCAGACCTTCCAGCCAAGCGGCTCCAGTCTCCAGTCCATTGCCCTGAGCCTGCAGGACGATGCCCAGATGCCCAGTCTGGCTCTCGGGGGCCAGCCAACCTGGCCCCAGCTTTGCTTGCTGTCTCGCAGCCCTCCCCCACAGACACGCCACGGTTCTCACGCCTCCAGGCCTTTGCTGCAGCCACTTTCTCCTCCTGGAACATAATCTCGGCTATTATCTCAATGGGGCTAATGTGGCCTTCAGGATTCCACTTCAGGATCACCTCTTCTGAGAAACCTTCCTCCCTCCATCCACTCCCCCTTACCCACCTCCAGGCTCTGAGGAGGGGCCACTCATGGAGCAGAAAACGAGTGACAACTTTAGTCAGACAGACAGACCTGGGGTCAAACCCAGTATTTAACTTTAGAGCCTCAGGACTTCTGCTCTATGAAATAAGCGTACTAAGGGCACAGGGTTGCAGTGAGGGTGAACGAGTTAGCAGAGGTAGAGTGCCTGCTGATGTCGGTCACCTGCCACCTGCTGCTCCCCTGCACTTTGTACCCACGCCTGCGGGTGCTGCCAATGTTTGCTGCACATGCTCACCTGTCTCTGCAACAAGGCCCCAGCCCTTTGCATCTTTGGGTCCATTGCAAGGCCCTGCACTCAGTAGGTCTGCTTAAATGAGTGGACAGCTGAGCCTCACCATGAACCGAAGACACAATTTGACTTGCCCAGAGAGCAGCATCCAGCATGGAGCTCACCCTTGCAGGGTGGGCAGCCTCATGGGCAGGGGTTTGAGAATCAGATCTGGCCTTACACCCCAGCCACATCGCGGGGTCCCCATATAAAGGGGGCCACGTGACTGTTAATGAGACAGGTGATGTAAAGGGCACAGCCCAAGAGGAGGATTGGAATAAGGGTGGCCCCCTTGGTCTGTAAGTTGAAGTGAAGGTCTGGTGGCTGGTGGGATGTGGGTGGTCCTGAGACCTTCCCCTCACCACCTCCTCCAGCTGTGTTCTCAGGACCCAGCCACGACCTCAGCGGGGCAGTAAGCCTCTTGAAGGCAGTGACAAAAAGGCGCTGACCTGGCGCACAGATGCTGGTCTGAGTCTGTAAGCAAAGGTTGAGTGGCTGGGGCCAGCTACGGGCTCTGGGACAAGTGGTGGTGGGTCGGTGTAATCAGGAGGGGAACCAGCGAGGAGTGGGGCTACGTTTTGAGAGGGACCCCTGCGGGGTCTAGGGCAAGGTAGAGTGCTCTTCTGGGTCCTAGAGAGCACTTCTCTGGCTCTGCAGCAAACGGGGAGGCCTGAGACAATGGAGTTCGGTCCAAGGCGGAGGCGGAGAAGGCGGCACCGGGAGAACTGGTTCACCGCGCACTACAAGCGACCTTAGCCAGTTCCTTCCGCGGCTCGGCGCCTCATTTTCTCCACCTGTGAAACGGGGTGAATGTCCCCAGGGCAGCCCTGGAGCGGGAGCACAGGGAGGAGACAAAACAGGGTTTGCAAACGGGAAGCGCCGGCGAGGCGGCCCGGGGCGGGGCGGGCAGCCAGGGTGGCCCAGGAGGCGGAGCCGGGCCTGCGGGCTCGCGGGAGCCTCGACTCGCAGTGGCTGCGGGCCCGGGAGGCGGCGGCGGCGGCGCGGCGACAGTAAGTGCGGGCTGCGGGCGGGCGGCGAGCTCGGGCGCGGAGGCGCCGGGCCTGGCCCCACCGACACCTCTTCCAGCTCCCTGCCGCGCGCCCTGGGCTCGCGCTCGCTATGGCCGCCTTCCCAGGCACTTCTGGGCGCTGCTGCAGGGTTCGGACCCCCGGGCCCCTCCGGTTTAGGACCCCTCTATATTCCCCTCTCAGCGCCCCTCCTCTTCCTCGTCGCTCTCTACCTTCCCCCCACCCCCAGCTCTGTTTCTCACTGTCCCTCTCCTTCGGGGTCTCCGTCTCTCTCCCCCAAGTTGTCTCAGCGTCTCTGTCCTGTGAATTTCCTGACACTGGACTCACCGTCTGGATGTGCGGGGGCTGGGTATCCAGAAGGTGGCCGACATGTTTGTACACATAGGGGCTGCTGAGGTTGGGGGTGTCCACAACCCCGAAGCAGACCTGGCCTTTGGGTGGTGCCCTGTGCTTCCTAACATGCTTTCCCATAGGTTAGCCTCCCATCCCCATTTCTCAGATGAGGAAATTGAGGCAGGGAGAGGAGACTGACTTAGCCAGGAGTTGCCCTTTGCACCCAGGGAGGAAGTAGGGCCAAATTGGCAGCTCCTGCAGGTGCTTTGAGGACACACACCGGGTCATAGCCAGTCTGTCCTGGAGGGAGCTCAGGCTCTTCTTTACCTTTCTTTTTTAATCCAAAAGCCAGCAGCTTTTATAAAGAGTAATAAGGCTTTGCTCACTCCAATGCCCTGGCTTGTGACCTGGGCTAGGGAAAATTCCTGGTTTCTTCTTCACAAGCTTGGTGAAGCCTGAATGGTTCTTGACAAATAAACACCAGGAGCTGAGAATGGGCCCTGGCCAAGTGTGGTGCTGAGTGGCCCAACTGTGGGCTGCACACCCACCCCTGTAGCTGGGGCATCTGGGAAGAACCGCTTGCCCGTTCTCTGTTGTCCTGCGTGGATCGGAATTGCTTTTTACGTTTCAGATTACTAATTAAAATAATTGTGTGTGTGTGTGTTGTTTGTTAGTCAGAGCTGGGCTCCTTGTGAATGAAGGTTAGGGAAGGACTCTGCTCAACCAGGGGAGTTTAAAACAGACTTGCTGACTTGGATACTTGGGCCTGGGCATCCGGCAGCCTCCTGCCTGCCTGCTCCTGGCTCCACACTGCCCCAGCAGGGGAGAATATCCTGGCCTTACGGTGTCTGTCCATTCGGCAGACATTCAGGGGCCACTCAGGGCAACCTCTACTCACAGCTCACTGGCTGTGAGGCCATCAGGAAGGAGGCCTGTGCTAGGAGCCAGAAGGCCAGGGTTCAGATTCCCAGCCCACTTCTAGAATCCCAGGGAGGCCGAGGAGTCTGGCATGGCCTTAGACTGCTTGGCTGTTCAGTTTCAGTCTTGCCATTTGGTTGCTGTGTGACCTTGAGCAGGTTACTCACCTTTCTGAGCCTCAGACCCCTCATCTGTGAAATGGGTTTTAGAATCATTCCTACTGAAGTAGGCTGTTGTCTGGCCCAAGTGCTAGCCACAAAATTCCATAGGGATGAGTGCTGGGTTTAATTTTAGCTATTGGTAATGCTTACTGCGTGAACATGTGACAAATCAAGCGCCCTCAAGACCTCAGTCTTTGCATCTGCCATAATCCATTGCCATCGAGTTGATTCTAACCCACAGCGATCCTGTAGGACAGGGTGAACTGCCCCCATAGGGTTTCCAAGGCTGTAATCTTTGCAGAAGCAGACTGCCACATCTTTCTCCCGCAGATCGGCTGGTGGGTTCAAACCACCAACCTTTCAGTTAGCAGATGAGCACTTTAACCACTGCACCACCAGGGCTCCTCTCATCCTCCAAAAGGGGGCAATAATTCCTGCCCTGTCTGATTCCAAGGGCTCTCAGGAGGATCTCCTGAGACAGTGAACAGAGCTCTGTGCCCACTCTGCCTGGCTTAATGCTTGGAGTTGAGGCTCAGCCTCCTATGTGAGCTGCAGTGCATTTATTTATTGATTTATTGAATAGGGAGTAAGCTTATGGAGAAGGGACCACAGAGTGTCCCATCCTCAGCATTATGGAAATATTTACCATTTATCAAGCTGCTGCCACATCCCAGGTGCTATTTAGAGCATAGACGTAGGCATGCTACGTTGCAGCCAAATTCAGCAGCTAGCCAGCCAGGTGATAAGCCCAGGATGCTGGGGAAGATCCTGACGTTTGTTCAACAGCTGCTACGTCGGACCAGGCCTTGCCAGCCAGTTGCAGTTACGTAACAATTGTAAAAAGGCTTCCCTGGGTTTTTGTTGTTAGTTGCCACCGAGATTGCTCCGACTCATGGCAACCCCACGTACAACAGAGCAAAATGTTGCCTGGTCCTGCACCATCTTCATGACCCCTGGTATGTTCAACTCCATTGTTGAACCATCTTCACTACTGTTGGTATGCTCAAGTCCATTGTTGCGGCCAGTGTGTTTTCCAGCCTAGGGGGCTCATTTTCCAGCACTATATTGGGCAGTATTCTGTTGTGATCTGTAGGGTTTTCATTGGCTAATTTTTGGAAGTAGATCACCAGGCCTTACTTCCTAGTCAGTTTTAGTCTGGAAGCTGTCCACCATGGGTGACTCTGCTGGTATTTGAAATACCAGTGGCATAGCTTCCAGCATCATAGCAACACGCAAGCCACCACAGTATGACAAGCTGACAGATGAGTGGTAGTTCCTAGGTTTACAGATGGGGAAACCAAGGCTCAGAAGCATGATGACTTGGCCAAGATCATGTTGGCAGTCGTTACTGGCAGCCCAGAATCTTCCACTTGTCTTAGGTGCCACCACAGGTTGGGAGTGACTGTCTCCTGATGTGAAGAACAGAGGTGGGGACCCAGGCAAGAGCTGCAAACCCAGACTCAGCCATTTACCTGTGACCTTCCACTCTTTTGGACCTCAGTTTCCCCAGAAATGAAATGAGGGAGTGGACTATCACAGGTCACAAGTCGGCCTTCTGGAAGCAGCTCTTGACACCAAGGGTGTTTTAAATGATGATTTAATTTGAATGCCGTCGTTTTTATTTATGTTTATTTTTTGAACAGGTAGTAAATTCATGTGGCTCAAAATTTAAAAGGCACAGAAATGTGCAGTGAAGTCCCCGCCTTCCCTGTCCCCAGCCCCCTCCTCAGACGCAACCACTTGTTAGAAATTTCTTGTGTATTCTTGCAGAGATATTCTATGCATATAAAAATAAATGAGGGTGTGTATTCTCCCCCCGTTTTATGCAAATAGTAGCATTCTCCACACACTGTCCTCATCCTTGTTTTTCTCATATAAAGTGGAGAAGAGTTTAGGGATCATTCTTTGTCTGCTCGTTAACAGCCCTGACTCCTTTTTTTTCTGCTGCATAGAAATTGGAATGCCTTTAGACCAGGTTGCCTTTCTGGATTGATTGCCGTAGGCCCCTCTGTGCCGCACTGCCTTACACCCAGCCTGCCCACACTGTGTGTTAGCTAGGTAGTCCCCTGGGGGCGGATTATCCAATAGGCAAGGTAAGCACGGTGCTTACCTTGCTTACTAGATCATCCATAGTGAATAATTTCACATTTTTTCACCACATCAAAGATTCTGCTTTTAAGTATGGCTGGCATCTGTCTCTCTCCCAACCCCACAGCACCTCCCTACAGAATCAAAGCCTCTTTTCAAATTTACAATCCCTGACAAGGATAGATGACCCAGCAAGCAAGGTAAGCGTAGGCTTAATTGTGCTTACTTCCTAATCTGTAGTGAACAATTTCACACGTTTTTCACCACATCAGATTTCATTACAGATTAATTGTTCACTACAGATTAAGAAGTAAGCACAAGTAAGCCCGTGCTTATCTTGCTTATTGGGTTATCCGCCCCTGGTAGCCCCTGAATGAATGGGGTGATCTCTGAGGTCACTTACAGCACTGACATTCCATCCTTCTGGGCGTCCGACTTCTGTCTTTCTCCCTGTTCCTGAAACCTGAAGGTCCCAGCCAGGCGGCTCTTAGACCAGGGTTGGTGAGTCCCCAGCTGTCCCTAGCCTCAGCTTCTGCTCACCTGCCCTGTCTCCCCTTCTCTTCCCGCTCCAATAGTGGCCATTGTCTCAGAGGACAGCTTTCATCGCAGTGCAAACTCCACCTACAGAACCAGAAGCAGCTCTCTACTAGCTGATGAGGATGAGCTGCTTGAGAAGCTGCTGGACAGCCCGTCGTCCGGCCTGCAGAGGCCCGAGGACCGCTACAATGGCACCTACATCATCTTCTTCAGCCTGGGCATCGGCACCTTGCTGCCATGGAACTTCTTTGTCACTGCCAAGGAGTACTGGGTGTTCAAACTCGGCAACTCCTCTAGCCCAGCCACACAGGAGGGCGCTGTGGGCTCGGACATCCTGGTAAGGGCATGTTCCTCCCAGTAGGCCCGTGGGAGCAAGCAGCCTGGGCAGGCGAAGGGGGAGGCTTTACTTGGGGTGCACCATTCCAGGGAGGTTTGCAGCATGCTAGGAATACAGCTGTGAATTAGGAAGCTGTGTGGAGTTTAGTAAAACGAGTCCCATTCTGTCCTAAGCCATGCTTTGTGTTATGTATGAGTCTCATGCTCAGTGTGGCGGGGAAGATGGAGATGGATAAGGCCCAATTCCAGCCTTCAGGTTGCTGAGTACTTAACTGGAAAGAAGTTGCAAATGATGATTCTGTGCAGCAAAGTATGATATACCCAGGAATTCGGAGTCCATACCTCCAGGGGTTTGAAGTCAAGAGTGGATTTAGTAGCATTAAGTTCAGCTGTGTGTTACACAGCAGTGGCTAAAACAAAGTGGAAGGTATTTTTCTCTCACATTCCAGTCTGGAGGAGCAGCCCAGGGCTGGTATGGTATTCTACGGGATCAGGAACCTAGTTGCTCTACCATGTCTGGCTTCCATTCCCAAGGTCACCTCATAGTCTAAGTTGGCTGCTGGAGCTCGAGCCATTACACCAGTAGGAAGAAGGAGGAGAGGAGGAAATGCTTCCTTCCTGTAAGAACACTTCCTGGAAGTAGCACACACTGCTTCTGTTTACATAGCATTGGTCAGAGCTCAGTCATGTGACCACACGTGCTGTAAAGAAGGCTGGGAAATGTAGTCTTTATTGCAGAGAACTATGTGTTCAGCTAAAATGGGAGATTCTGTAGTTATGAAGAGGGAGCCCTGGTGGCGCAGTGGTTAAGTGCTTGGCTGCTAACTAAAAGGTTGGTGGTACAAACCCACCAGCCGCTCTGTGGGAGAAAGATGTGGCAGTCTGCTTCTGGAAAGATTTACAGCCTTGGAAACCCTGTGGGGCAGTTCTACTCTGTCCTACAGGATTGCTATGAGCTGGAATAGACTGGACGGCAGTGGGTTTGGTGTTTTGGGGTACTTATAAAGAAGGGGAAAGAGTCTTGTCATGGGGGAGGGAGTCCCTTTTGTGGGGGTGGAGATGTGAAGAACAAGGAGGAGACATTCCAGGTTGAAGAAAGAGCCTGGGCAAAGCCGTGACGGGAGGAAAGATCAGGCATGGCTGAGCAGCAGTGAGGCGTCCAGTTTTATTGTGTTGGTTGTACAAATAAGAGAGGGGTCAGGTTTGAGCTTGTTGCCTGGACTTTGGATGTCAGGTGAGGAGTCTGAACTGATTTTGGCTGGCAGTGGTACTAAACCCTCTCCAAGTGCTGTTCCCTTTCCGGGGTGACTTCCCGCTGGGTGACTTTTTGCAGCTGGCGTTGGCCACATCTGCTTTCACTAGTTTCCCTGTAGGTGGGGGAAACAGTAATTTCTGAAGGCTTGTCAGGGTAGAGGGTTGCTAGGTGCATGGCCACCCCCCCCTCCAGGGGCGCCCTGAGGGACAAGAAAGGAAGACCCCAACCATAACCCTCCCGCTAGCCCGCGGGCTCACCACCTCTCCCTGAAAGCACCTTTGAAGGGAAGTCAAAGTTTCTTAAAAAGTACCAACCCAGGAAGCACCCCAGAGATCCTGAGTGTATTAGTCTGAGGTGGGGTGTGGACGTTGGTATTTTTTAAGGCCGCCACCCAGCCCCACCCCTGTGATCCTGATATCCACTGAGGGCCTGTTTCGACTAACCCAGGAGACAGAGCAGTGGGTATAAACCCGTTTCTGCAGCTGAAGAGGTATTATGGGAATGTAGACTCCATGGCCACTAACAACAGCAACAGTGTAGAAGATTAAAGCCTCAAAGTGTGGTCCACTCCGGGAGGTTGTTAGAAATGCAGAGTCTCAGGCCCCAGCCCAGACCTCCTGAATCTGCCTGTTAACAGGATCCTTATGGACGGCCACAGTGGAGTCTGAGCACCACTGGCTGGAGCTTGGCTTCTGGAAACACATGGGCTGGGCTCAGACCCTGCCTCTCTTTCTCTGCCACTTCTCTGTGCTGCCTGTTTCCCGGCACGTAAAGTGAGGATAATAGTAGTACCAGCTTCTTAGGGTTGTTGTGAGGATGAAATGAATTAATGTGTGCCAAAAGCACTTGGAGCAGTGTCTGGCATCGCTATAGCGAGTGCTGTGTAAGCATTATTATCATTAGCATTTGGGGGTCTGGACAGCATAGGGATGGGCCCACACTCCTGAGCCACTGGTGACCCTGGTGTGTTTCTGGAGGCGCCAGGCTTAGCTGGGATGCTTTACGATCTGCTTTTATTTCCCAGTGACTCAAGCTTCCCAGCTTTCTGCCGGCCTCCGTAAATTGCCCAGCCCGCTTGGCTTTCTCCAGGAGACCCTCTGCCTGTTGCAGCCAGTGCCAGGCCTAGGGTGGCCCCAAGGGCTGGATTTTGTGCACCTGCCCCTGCTCCCCCCTCCATTGCCCAGTCCTGGAAGCAGGCTGCCTGCGGGAGGGCAGGAGCAGGCTGGTAGGCCCTCGCACAGTGGACGTTTGCTGAAGCTGCTCTCGCGTCTAGGCGATCCCTGCCCAGCTGCAGGCACTTAGCATTCCCGGCCCTGCTCCGATGCTTTATTGCCTTTTTCCAAGTGCTGGCAGGTGCGGATGTAGTACCTGCGGCTGCCCGGAGCTCCTGGCTCTTGGCATCGGAGATGAGAGACCTGTCACCCCTGGATTCATGGGCCGGCTTTGGGAAGCAAGCATGTTGGGGCGTTTCTGCATTTTGTAGACCATTTTTCTTCGCCTGATTTCTCATTCCTGCCACCATGCCCCCAGTTCTTTCCCCCTCTCTTCCTGACTTCCCTGTAAGAGGTGTCTGGGCTGCCCTGTCACCTGAGGGCCACACTGGGGTGGGTTGAGGAGTCAAGTGGGTCTCTCTCCACCAGCCACCTGCAACTCAGTTAGCTGTGGGTCTGGATGTTTGTTTTTTTCCCAAACTTTCCTTTTAATATTTTCCAGGGATGGGTACCATTTGATGGGGAATTTGATGCAGTAGAAGTGTTTGCACAGATGACCCTCTCCCGTCCCATTATAGTCATTTTAAAGGTCACCTCCCATCCCAGGTGCAGCTCCTTTTGCCTGGACAATTTTTTTTTGGGGGGGCTAGGGGGGCCTGGAATGATTTTGGAATGTTTTAGGTCACTTCTTGCTCATGTTGCCTTCTCTTCTCTGTTCTCTGGAATAAGAACCTTGAATAAACGCACCACAGGCCTGTGGGCCCAGGACCAAAAAAATTAGAGCATAAACGAGGAAGAATTGTTATGAGAAGATGGTGGGGGGTGGGGAGCCACAATGGCCACCATTTCCTGTGCACAACCTGGGCCCGCCGTGCTGGCAGGGCTGTTACGCATTGTCTCTCATTAACCTTGCAAGGCAGATCTTATTAACCCTATTTTTTTCAGCAAGAAGCCAGAGGCTCAGAGAGGTAAAGGAACCTGACTGAGATCACGCAGCTAGGAAGGGCCGTAGGGAATTTCATGAGGAAATTAGGCGGATAGATGATTGCAAAATTGATCCTACTCAGAGAGTGGTGTATAGGGGACTGTTGTGGAGACGGGCCGCCCCACCCCACACCCTGGCTCCGCCAGATGCTGCCGTTCTTGCCGAGCGCCTGCCCTTTGTCCTGGCCTCTTTTTCCAGCCTGGAACCCCGGGCATCTTAGCTCTACCCCTGGGCACTGGATGCATCTTCCAGGCTGATGGGGTCCCTGCTCCCTTCCTTGCCCCACCTCTGTAGCCTGAGGTCCCAGAGTCCCAACACCCGCCCTCAGGTCCTCCCCTGCCTCTGTGGTTATAATCCATCCCTCTTCCTGGGAGGTCTCCTCACCTTGCCTTCAGCCTCTCCTACAGACCTGTACTAGGGCCAGAGACAATGAGCCAGACAAGCCCCCTTTCTGCCACAGAGAGGGTTTGACGGTACCTTCTCCTGGTCATTCCCTGCTGTGAGGCCTCCATGGCCCCCTCCCCACACATTCCTCCCGTACCCTTGGCCTGCACAGGGGCTCCTCTCTGAGGAGGCTGCAGGACACGACCAGGATGTAGGTGGGACCCACAGTTTGACTGGTGTCAGCAGAGCAGAGACCCAGGCCTGGCCATCTAACACTGCCCCTGCCCACCCCCGACCACAAGGGGCACCAGCAGGTCAGTCCTGGGGAGTCAGGCAGGAGGCGGAAGTGCCTCTTAGTCCTGGGACCCTCCTCTAATGCCACTCTTCTGAGCCCGCTCCACACAGCTCATGGGTTCTGAGGGCTCATGTTGGGGAGACATACTCTCAGCACCTCACATGCATTATCTCTTAACCCTACAGCAAACCTGGAAGGCAGGCACTGTTATTATCCACTATGAGAATGCCCATTTCAGAGATGAGTCGACAGTTAGCTTTCTGGGAGCAGTGAATGCAACTCTCACTGCATATCCGTGTGCTCCCAGGACACCTAGCATGGTGCCTAGCACACAGAAATATGCAATTAATATTTGATGCCTTACTTATTATATGGCTGGGGAGGAAAGCTCCTTCACCTCAATCGGAGGGAACAGACAAAGATCTGTGGATCACAGTGGCTACCACCCAAAGGATTCTGATGTGTCAGATGGGATTCCTGCCATAGGAAAGGAAGCCAGCTTGGCCAGTTCAGCAAGAAAGGGCCTGAGGCACTTCCTCCCTTTATTTACAGCACCAGTGTCACCCTTGGTCCTGGTCCAGCCCCTGAGCCCTCCAAGAATGCAGGATGGCATGACTTGGGAGCTGTGCTTACTATCAAAGGGAAGATACCTCATCCTGCTAGGAAGGGTTCAAAGAAACCAGGATGAACTGGTTTGGAGAAGAGGAAGCTGGAGGATGGGTTTTCAAAGGTCTTGGCAATGATCAGCCAGCTTTACCAAGTCCATGCTTTGCAGCCCATACCTACCCCACCCTTCACCTACTATCTTACTTTATCCATATGATGACCTGGTGAGTTAGATAATTTCATCCTCAACTTCCAGATGAGGAAA